TTTTGAAATACTGTCTTAAAGTAGATAATTTCAAAGCGACTATAAATGTTTTTGCATCAATCATTCTCAAACCTCCTTCTTCATAGTTGTTTTTAATTACATTCCTTTTTATTTTATGATTCTTGTCATTCCAAATAAATTTTAAAAACATTTTGTCAAGGGACGTGATAAATTCTGCTGGTGGGTTGGGCAAGGAATTGAAAATATGGAACAATTTGGAGATTGCTAGAGTTTTTAGTACTGTTATTTTACCAATAAGTGCTAAATTTCTTTTTCTCCAAGATGCTAAGAGTCTATTAATTCCCTTCAGTCTCTTTCTTGTGTTGATTACCCATAAGTCTTTAAGATCTGGTGTAAATTTAATACCTAGTACATCAAATTCACCAATTACCCATTCAATATTTAGATCATTTTATATTTTATCCATAGATTTAGCTTTGGATCCAATCCAGATTGCTTTTGATTTGTCTAAATTAATTTCAAGCCTGACATTTTGTAAAACGTATTAATTGTGTCAATAGCAGAGTACAAACTCTCTTCAGTTCCATCAAGAAATAGTTCAGTATCATCGGCATATTGATCCATTTTAAATTTTAATTATCATTGATGACAATACCTTTGATGTCTTCACTATTTCTTATCATGCAACCAAGAATCTCAGCCACAAAAAGGAAAAGATATGGGGATAGTGGGTCTCCCTGTCTACATACCCTTTCATTTGCAAAGAATTCGGATAGATTACCATGTTGGATAACACAAGATGTGGTTCATAGGTTAATATATTTATCCCTCTTATCATGTCAGGGCCAAATTCAAGTCAATCAAAATCAGCTAACCAGGAATGTTTTGTTTCTTTGTTTCAAACATTATATCATATAACAATCTTGTATTTTCACTAATAGTCCTACCCGGTATAAAACCAGTTTGGTTAGAGTGAATAAGTTCATCTAAAGTATTTTTTAATCTATGTGCAATGCAGGAGCTGATAATTTTATAAATAGCATTAAGTAAAGTGATTGGCCTCCAATTTTTAAGTAATGTTCTATCTTTTTGGGGTTTTGGAATAGGTGATATATTTGTTTGTGACAATATCTATTTATCATGTGACGGCCATCCGAATGTTAACGTTGCGAACACGGTAATACGTAACAAGCAAGTGACGTCACGTCTAATTTTATGACGTCAAGATAATCTTGCCGCCAGAACCCACGGCTGACCAATCGTTCAATTAACTCCCTGGATCCGGGAAGGACAGCGTGGGCACGTGTTCCTCCGTGCTCCTCATTCCCCACCTTGAAGTTGAAAACAAAAGCTTTGTCAGGGAATTGTACAAAATCTACTGTCAAAACGATATCTCCTAGGAGATATCGTCTTATCTCACACAAGCAATATCTCCTGTGGAACAGAGTTTTGGATGATAAATATTTACATAAACTAATCTTGTCTTTCTCCTTAATAGAACAGTCTGATTCATATTGCACAAAACACTATGCACCTATAGCCATCCAAAGCACACCACATTCACATCGGGACAGCTGCACTAGTTCCACTGGCCCTAATACTAAGCGCACACACAGTTATGATCATTTCCCATGTGCGCCGGTGTTAAAATTGAGGAATATTAAAGAAAGCATGTTGTTGTATAGAATGTATAGTGTTATATATAACGATAAATTCCATTTGATATATCATGATGTCGTTCATATATTAACCAGAGTTTGCTCTCACTCAGTTTAGAATTACCTAATTAAAGTCTTGTGAAACTATTGGTGACAGTTCTTTTTTCAGTTCACACAAAAAGTTGCGAAATTTATTGTTGTTGCACGGATTACAAAATCTCGAACACGTTATAGAGAGGTCTGTTTCTAAAAACAGTCTTAAACATACAATCAACTTTACACTTTCAGATAGGAAATTTACTATTCTGCATCTTGAAATTCTGAATAATTGTATAAACTCGGTATCCAGATGCTAACGACTTATTTAGTAGTTTATCTGCGGATATAGGAATATCACTTACTATTGAGTTAATATAAGTGCAATTTGGATAAAATATGTATCTTCCAGTCAACAAGAAAAGCAATATTCCACAACAAGTGACTGAGCTCTTGAGCAGGAATTATCTGGATAAGATACGCTGTATAACTTTACATTTTATGTTCCAAATATACTAGAAAAGCCTAAACAGAAAGAAATGTATGTCTAAAGAAGTGTTGGAAAAAATAGATTCGAACAACAGCCTCTTATGGATGGGATACATGATAAAGGTAGGATCACATCTGTGAGGTAATTGATGGGATACATGATAAAGGTAGGATCACATCTGTGAGATAATTGATGGGATACATGATAAAGGTAGGACCACATCTGTGAGATAATTGATGGGATACATGATAAAGGTAGGACCACATCTGTGAGGTAATTGATGGGATACATGATAAAGGTAGGACCACATCTGTGAGGTTATTGATGGGATACATGATAAAGGTAGGATCACATCTGTGAGATAATTGATTGGATACATGATAAAGGTAGGACCACATCTGTGAGATAATTGATGGGATATACGATAAAGGTAGGACCACATCTGTGAGGTAATTGATTGGATATATGATAAAGGTAGGACCACATCTGTGAGGTAATTGATTGGATATATGATAAAGGTAGGATCACATCTGTGAGATAATTGATGGGATATATGATAAAGGTAGGATCACATCTGTGGGGTAATTGATGGGATACATGATAAAGGTAGGATCACATCTGTGAGATAATTGATTGGATATATGATAAAGGTAGGATCACATCTGTGAGATAATTGATTGGATATATGATAAAGGTAGGACCACATCTGTGAGGTAATTGATTGGATATATGATAAAGGTAGGATCACATCTGTGAGATAATTGATGGGATATATGATAAAGGTAGGATCACATCTGTGAGATAAGTCATGGTTGAGATCAATGAGTATTTCAATCCTTCGCATGCCATTCTGACGTCACAATGACATCACGATTAAATGACATCACTAATGTCTGGTTAGCTTTACGCTTTACACTTAAGACACCGATTATTTCTGTTTAGGATGATTTTGGCAAGCCTAACTTATATTTAATCGTTTTGATATAATTGAAATCAAAGCACACTCGCGTCATATTCTCTGTATACTACCTATATACAGCATGAATATCCCCATGGTGCTTTTCTTTAGTTTGTAATAAAAGCAAGATATTTCCGTTAGATCTTTCTAAATAACACCATGTAAGTTCTCAAACAAGTGAGGTGAATGACTTGTTCCATGCTTGCTGAGGCTGAACATTTGCCTGGGACCCAGCCTGTCTTTATTCGTTAGCTCAGTCAGAACTGTAACTTCAATGACATCCGACATCCAGGACCCTCGAGTATGTCCATAACAGGAGACCGAGGGAGAGCAGCCCTGTTGAACCAATTAACAAACACTTATTTATATTTGAATTGAACGAACCCCCTTTCATGTGTGAAATGAACAACTTTTCTTGTTAAATTGACAAAATCAGCAAATCACATTTTGCATATACCAAGAACAAGTACCTTATTATATGTCAAATACACAGTCCTTGACAAATCAAATGAAATTTGATTATTGTAAGTAAAAATACTAGAAACAAACTTTGGCAAATGTCAGGATAACACCGAGATGACTTTGGTTTGTGTATTGACTATTGAACGAACACTGACTAACACTGCCTATGTGAAGTAGGCGACAGAGAACAATCTTTGATATTAAGAATAAACAAACCCTCATTGATATTAAGAATAAACAAACCCTCATTGATATTAAGAATAAACAAACCCTCATTGATATTGAAATTAAAAATGATATGTGAATTAAACACACACTCACTGTCATTTGAAACAGACATGCAAACAGATGAACACGCGCTCATTGATAATGAGTGAGTGAGTGAGTGAGTGAGTGAATATTTAACGTCACATCGGCAATGTTTCAGCCATATCGTGACGAGAACAAATTTGACGTTTATAAAGAATATGTATGTATTATACAACCTATCGTCAAAGGACAGTAAAACAACTATCACAGTTCGAATTAAAACTAGCATGTGAAGTTAAAACTAATAGCACTATTTGGACAATACATAATATAAAAACAGGCTATAGATCGCCATCAACTGAAGGTAGATCATCACACCAGGTACCATGGGGACTTACAGTGTCTTTGCTACCTGCATGGACCGTTCATTGATATGTGAACTAGCCTAAATCACTTTGATATATACAATATGTGAACGCTTATTGTTATGTGAATACACAAAAATAGATTATTTTATATGTGAAATAAATGAATCATCATTGCATGTGAGTAAACAACTTTTTTTTGTTATGTCAAAAGAACAATTCATTGTTATTTGATAAAGCATTTCTTGATATATCAAATGAACAGACAGTATCTTACGTATCATATGAACAAGCGTTATTTGATGTGTGGGCTAAATAATCTCATAACAGACACGATTGAGCCACGCACCTCTATAGTAATCACGTCAGGCTGGCGTAAGGAGATAATACCTTCTAAAGAATGGGCACTGCAAGCCATTACCGACATCGGGGATAGCCCCTTTAATGCCCTGCGTCATGATCTCCTGTATGTGTGCATGTTCATGTTCCTGACGCAACAGGCATACGCGTGTATGGGAATATGTATGGCATATGTTCAGTGTCACAGACAAGCATGATCATATTTTGTCATGTTGTATCTGATGACTATTTTTTTGAATAATTACATTTGATAAGTATGTATGATTTAGTCAGTTCGTTTGAAAAGAGGCGTTAATCAACGTGTGGACACATGCCTCATTTACACTCACATCCAGTTGACACATGGTGATATTAGTAATACCAGTATAGATGTCCGGTTGGATTTTCCCAAACTAAAATATACTTCCTGGAATTCAACAAATGGGTCATTACATGAGCATGCGCATTACTGATATCCTGAAGTAGCTGTAGGTTGGTGAGGGCGTGTTGCCACCATAGAGATAATTACAAGGTTCAGCCTACAGATATACCTGTGTGTTACAGGTAGGTGTTAAGTAATACAGCAATACTGAATCTTTATTGGACATATTATTTTGCCATCTATCGTTGAGAGACTCGGCTGTTTAGTAGATGAGAAAGAAAGCGTTGAATGTGGTAGACGTATCAGTGTACCTTATCACTAAGTTCGCAATAAGAGGGTTATCGGGCAGGAAGCGTCTCCGTTGACTAACTGAAAGACCAGTTGAGTACAGAGTGACACTTTATTCAGTTTATACAACCATGGATTAAACCGACCAACCATACTGCAGGGATCGATAATAGGAATAGGATTCCAATAACCTATATTTAATTTTAAGAGCGAGTGAATAAGATCGGATGAAATACATGTCATTGCCTCATTAAAGTCAGCCCATCGCTGGTCGGTTGTTGACAGACTGTCGTGATAAGGGTGAGGTATATCTTATTGGAAGGATATATAATCTTCACACTTATTTAGGTATGCCACGGGATCGCGTATGCGTTAGTCTTTTGTCTTGTTGGTGAAATAGCCTGTGCAGATACTGTGACACCTCAGTAAACGTCGTCGGAAGTACCGATCCTGGAGTTTCAGTATGCCATGCTATTCACAATGCATGACTATATAAACTCTTTATGATGCTCTCCTTTTTCTCCAGTATCAAGTGTATGATAGATGAAACAGGCGGTGTGGTGTTAAGTCATTTTAACTTCATTCCTGTCTTAATACTCCGGTCTGGCCTATTGTGGGATAAATGCAAAGTCATAAGTATTCAGTGAAAGTCGTAGATATATGGCCCCGACACACGTAAAATATATGCCAATGTTATTTTCGGCTTAGAACCCGCAACCGTGCTGACAGCATATAGACAGACTAATTGTCATGTCCTTGACCTTGGTAGATAGAGTAATGGTCGAATTATTCAACTGGGTGACGTCACATAGTCATATTCGCAAAATATTATCAATCGATTGTAGCTGTCGCAGTCAAAACAAATCAATATTAAGCAGCTGTGCTGGATGTATTTACTCTGCAGGTAAATGTGTGGGGCGTAGGTAACTTATATAGGGTATTATACACAATACATGTTCTGTATCGTGTAGCTTATATAGACCGTGTAGTAAACATTACTTGACTTGCCTGCGCATGTGTTTGTGACTATTATTACCTCATGGATTGTGGTGAGTAAGTGAGTGAGTTTAGTTTTACGCCGCACTCAGCAATATTCCAACTATTTGGCGGCAGTCTGTAAATAATGGAATTTGGACCAGACAATCCAGTGATCAACAGCATGGGCATCGATCTACGCAATTGGGACACGATGACATGTGTCAACCAAGTCAGCGAGCCAGACCACCCGATCCCGTTAGTCGCCTCTTACGACCTCATGGTTTAGGGCGTTGGTGGGAATGGTGTTAGAAGGTTGAAGAGTGGCTGGTTTTGATATAGGTTTCACAAGGTTGGAGTTGGAAGTGTGTATGGATTGGGGGATTATAGTGGAGATTATGGTGGAGGTGTTGGTGGCGATAAGGCCGAAATGTGTGTTGTAGGCGGGGATGATGTTGGACGGTGCGGATGCTGGTTGAGTTCTGACTTTGTGGACGGTTGTTGGTGTGGGAGGTGTGGCTTTCGTATAGGGCTGGAGGATAAATGTGCTGTGGATAGATGCCTCACTCACATGCTTCATTCCCAACTCAGGCTGACATCCCACGATAGAACTGATTGTTTTACAAAAGAGAGCCTACTGGTACAACTAAAACAGATAGGTGGTCAGTAAATGGCTCATAGCGAGTCACCCTACTCGGCAGCGTGAAACCGAAACGTTTGATCGCTAACCCAAGACTATAGGATCAGACTTAAGCTTGGGTAAGTTCTATGTAGTTACTAAAAAGACAAAACTGACACCACTGACGCGGACCTTTCTTCCAATGAACAAACATGTTGCAAAGTGCAATCGATAATTGATTCGCTTATTGCTATTACAGTGCAACATCGTCAGCCCGGACAATATAGAAACTCTTATATATGTCCACGATTACGAATACTGCTACGCCGTAAATCGTGACGATATCACTATACATTCAAACTGAAAGTCTTCGGAATTTTCGGAATAGGTGGACTTCACGGTACACAGAATATCGTAATTGTATGTACCGTCACCGTGTTTTGAAAACCACAAATTTGATTTTGCAGGAACATTGATGCGTCTAGCGTGGACGAAGCCAAGAACATGAACAACGACGACCCGATGGAGAGGCAGCTGTCCTGTTCTGTATGCCTAGAACTCTTCACAGACCCTGTACTTCTTCCATGTCTCCATTCATTGTGTCGTCCCTGCGTGGAGAAGCTCACAACGTCTGTCACGTCGCAGACATTTAAATGCCCAGAGTGCAACAGTCAAGTTTCTTTGGGTGCAAGTGGTTATGCTAGTTTAAAACGAAACTTCCCTTTGAGCAGTATGGTTGCTATATACAAACAATCCCGAAGAAACGGCAAATTTTCTCAGTCTGCGCGGACTTTAGACAACCATTCAAATCAGCTGATAACCCCAAATCAAATTCCTTCCCCTACAGCACCAGACCATCGTCATCTTGCAACAGCACTAAATCAAGACCTTCAAACGACACTTTCAAATCAAGGTCAGCAGACAACCTATCCATATGGAGCCCAGCAGGCATTTCTTCAAAATCAGATGATGCAGGGCACTCTTCCATATCAAGCTCAGCAGACAATAGTTCCAAATCAAGTGATGAAGGTTACGCTTCCATATGAAACCCAGCAGACGACAGTTCCATCCACGTGCAGCACCTGCGATATAGGACAGACTAGTCAAGCACATATTTTCTGTGAGACTTGTAACATTTCTTTCTGCAAGACCTGCCGCGGCGTCTACCATCCAGATGATATCGGCCATACATTAAAACTGTTGGAGGAACCAACGCCACCAGTACATGTACAGCACCGGGATGAGGTACACCATTCATCCATTGAACTAGACGGCAATACTCATTTCTCTTTGGAAACGCTCTCTGATATAAAGTTCAGGATTTGTGATGTAACGGAGTATGTTGGGTGTATTTCTGTATTTGTCCGTAGAATATTTGTTCTTCGTAAATTTGTTAGTAACAGCCAGCAGCTGGAAGGATGGTGTAAATCGTACAGGGGTCCATACAGGTAGATGACCTTTGAAATTCCCCATAGCTACTAGTTGCTGGTGATCTATGTAATAGTGTCAAGTCAAATGTAACGATCTAATATGAAATACAAAATTATATACAATATACAGTAACACGATTGTTATGTAATACGCATAGAAATCATGCTTGAACATAAATACATTCAATTCAAAGCTGAACTAAAATGAATGGATACTCAATAAAAGAATATATAGAACAAATCGATGATAAAAATATATTCAATGGATGTATATCTAGTTCAGAAAAACAAAAAATACCCATGTATTTCAGCTAACAAAATAACTTGTTTGTGGTATTCATCGTAACTGCATAAACACTGATACCTTCATGGTTTATTGATATCAGTTTGTATGTTCCGTTTAAGTACGTGTGGTTTTGTCACATGGTCAACCGCATGTTTCAGCACCAACAGTGCACCCTCTGTGACCCTGCGTCCCCGTCTACAGGACGTGTCCGCTGTCTGGAGTGCCAGATGAGCTTCTGTGACAGCTGCCTCCATGCCTTCCACCCGACCACGAACACAACCGAGCACCATACCCTGGTGGAGGTACGGCCTGATCCTCCCCAGGTGGGAATCCACAATCCAGAGGCGGCGGCAAGATGGTCGTCAGAACCTATGAGGAATCTCCAGGGTAGCATCAGTTTAGTCGAGCCAACGGTAGGTTCATTCATTCATTCATTCATTCATTCATTCATTCATTCATTCATTCGTTCATTCGCACATCAAAAGCAGTCGATTATATTAGTGGATCGACCATAGCGCATAGCGAACACTGCAATAAACATATAGACTATTACCGTATATGGAATATATTCTGGGCGTGGCAGAAATCTATGATTATATTTATATGCTTGTCAGCACCATGCCCGGGCTAGTTGGTTTCGTCTGATGTTAAACGTTTAAGATCTTCCTCTCTTGCAAAGCTGACAGGCCATGATTTCACTGACTCACTAACTCACTCACTCACTCACTCACCACCCAAATTCACCAATATAACCACCCACCTACCCATCCGCTCACTCACTCGCTCACTCACTCACTTAGCGGTTCTTCGCCGATTTCCCAGGTTGGTTTCAGTGTTGTGTCGGACCTTGCTCAGTTTGCTGTGGAGTGTACCTGCAATATATGTCAAACCACGCCCCCACAGACGGCCACAGTTAGATGCTTGGATTGCTCCGCGAATCTGTGCTCTGGGTGTGTAGGCCAGCACCAGTCACAGTTCCCGAACCATTCTCTCATGGATATCAGCCTATCGCCAGAGACAGTCGGAACCAAACGTAAATCAACTAAAACCAAACCTGCGCCCAGGAAATCTGTCAATGTTCAGGTATGTATTGGACTCGACAGTCGAGACATACACAGAAATGAAACAGCTGAACGATGCATACACAGACATAATGAAACAGCTGAACGTTGCAAACACAGAAATGAAACAGCTGTACGATGCATACACAGACATAATGAAACAGCTGAACGATGCATACACAGACATAATGAAACAGCTGAACGATGCATACACAGACATAATGAAACAGCTGAACGATGCAAACACAGAAATGAAAAACAGCTGAACGATGCATACACAGACATAATGAAACAGCTGAACGATGCATACACAGACATAATGAAACAGCTGTACGATGCATACACAGACATAATGAAACAGCTGAACGATACATACACAGACATAATAATACAGTTGAACGATGCATACACAGACATAATGAAACAGCTGAACGATGCATACACAGACATAATGAAACAGCTGAACGATGCAAACACAGAAACAAGAAACAGCTGAACGATGCATACAAAGAAATGAAACAGCTGAACGATGCATACACAGATATAATGAAACAGCTGAACGATGCATACACAGACATAATGAAACAGTTGAACGATGCATACACAGATATAATGAAACAGCTGAACGATGCATACACAGACATAATGAAACAGCTGAACGATGAATACACAGACATAATGAAACAGCTGAACGATGAATACATAGATATAATGAAACAGCTGAACGATGCATGCACAGATATAATGAAACAGCTGAACGATGCAAACACAGAAATGAAACAGCTGTACGATGCATACACAGACATAATGATACAGCTGAACGATGCATACACAGACATAATGAAACAGCTGAACGATGCATACACAGACATAATGAAACAGCTGAACGATGAATACACAGATATAATGAAACAGCTGAACGATGAATACACAGATATAATGAAACAGCTGAACGATGCATACACAGATATAATGAAACAGTTGAACGATGAATACACAGATATAATGAAACAGCTGAACGATGAATACACAGATATAATGAAACAGCTGAACGATGAATACACAGATATAATGAAACAGCTGAACGATGCATACACAGATATAATGAAGCAGCTGTACGATGCATACACAGATATAACGAAACAGCTGAATGATACATACACAGATGTAAGGAAACAGCTGAGCGATGCATACAGAGATGTAAGGCAACAGCTGAGCGATGCATACACAGATATAATGAAACAGTTGAAAGATGCATCTTCAGATATAATGAAACAGTTGAACGATGCAAACACAGATATAATGAAACAGCTGAACGATGCATACACAGATATAATGAAACAGCTGAACGATACATACACAGACATAATAATACAGTTGAACGATGCATACACAGACATAATGAAACAGCTGAACGATGCATACACAGACATAATGAAACAGCTGAACGATGCAAACACAGAAACGAAACAGCTGAACGATGCATACAAAGAAATGAAACAGCTGAACGATGCATACACAGATATAAGGGAAACAGCTGAACGATGCATACACAGACATAATGAAACAGCTGAACGATGCATACACAGACATAATGAAACAGCTGAACGATGCATACACAGACATAATGAAACAGCTGAACGATGAATACACAGACATAATGAAACAGCTGAACGATGCATACATAGATATAATGAAACAGCTGAACGATGCATGCACAGATATAATGAAACAGCTGAACGATGCAAACACAGAAATGAAACAGCTGTACGATGCATACACAGACATAATGATACAGCTGAACGATGCATACACAGACATAATGAAACAGCTGAACGATGCATACACAGACATAATGAAACAGCTGAACGATGAATACACAGATATAATGAAACAGCTGAGCGATGAATACACAGATATAATGAAACAGCTGAACGATGCATACACAGATATAATGAAACAGTTGAACGATGAATACACAGATATAATGAAACAGCTGAACGATGCATACACAGATATAATGAAACAGCTGAACGATGAATACACAGATATAATGAAACAGCTGAACGATGCATACACAGATATAATGAAACAGCTGTACGATGCATACACAGATATAACGAAATAGCTGAATGATACATACACAGATGTAAGGAAACAGCTGAGCGATGCATACAGAGATGTAAGGCAACAGCTGAGCGATGCATACACAGATATAATGAAACAGTTGAAAGATGCATCTTCAGATATAATGAAACAGTTGAACGATGCAAACACAGATATAATGAAACAGCTGAACGATGCATACACAGATATAATGAAGCAGATGTACGATGCATGCACAGATATAATGAAACAGCTGAACGATGAATACACAGATATAATGAAACAGCTGAACGATGCATACAGAGATGTAAGGAAACAGCTGAACGATGCATACACAGTTATAAAGGAAACAGCTGTACGATGCATACACAGATATGATGAAACAGTTGAACGATGCATACACAGATGTAAGGAAACAGCTGAACGATGCACACACAGAGATATAAGGAAACAGTTGAACGATGAATACCCAAATATAATGAAACAGCTGAACGATGCACACACAGACATAAAGAAACCCACTGATGCATAACCAAATAATAGGAAGGACACAGCTGACGCATACAGATATATTAAGAAGCAGCTAACACAAACAGCTGATGCATACCGATATTAGGAAGAATAGGATGCATACACAAGTATTAAGGAATAGCTGTTGCCTACACAGATGTAAGGGAGAACTCACGGTGTGTTTGTGGAAATCGTTGTTACTTACTGTGTGTGCGTGTGGATATCCATGTTACTTACTGTGTGTGTGTGTGTGTGTGTGGATATCCATGTTACTTACTCTCTGTGTGTGTCCGTGAATGGATATCCACGTGTGTTACTTTGTGTGTGGATATCTACGTGTGTTACTGTGAGTGTGGATATCCACGTATGTTACTAAGTGTGGGGAGATCCATGTGTGTGTGTTGATATCCACGTGTGTTACTGTGTGTGGAGGTCCATGTGTGCGTGGAGATCCATGTGTGTTACTATGTGTGTGGAGAGACCCATGTGTGTGTGGAGATCCGTGTGTGTTACTGTATGTGTTAAGATCCATGTGTGTTACTGTGTGTGTGGATATCCATGTGTGTTAGTGTATGTCTGGAGGTCCGTGTGTGTTACTGTGTGTGTGAGAGATCCATGTGTGTGTGGAGATCCATGTGTGTTAATGTGTTTGTGGATATCCGTGTGTGTTACTATGTGTGTGGAGACCCATGTGTGTGTGGAGATCCGTGTGTTACTGTATGTGTTAAGATCCATGTGTGTTACTGTGTGTGTGGATATCCATGTGTGTTAGTGTATGTCTGGAGGTCCGTGTGTGTTACTGTGTGTGTGGAGATCCAAGTGTGTTAATGTGTGTGTGGAGATCCGTGTATGTTACTGTGTGTGTGGAGATCCATCTTTGTTACTGTGTGTGGATATCCGTGTTTGTTACTGTGTGTGTGGAGATCCATGTGTGTTAATGTGTGTGTGGAGATCCATGTGTGTTACTGTGTGGATATCCGTGTGTGGTACTGTGTGTGTGGAGATCCATGTGTGTTAGTGTATGTGTGGATATCTACGTGTGTATTACTGTGTGTGGATATCCGTGTGTTGTACTGTGTGGATATCCATGTGTGTTACTGTGTGTGTGGATATCCGTGTGTGTCACTGTGTGGATATGCGTGTGTGTTACAGTGTGTGGATATCCGTGTGTGTTAATGTGTGTGTATATGTCCACGTGTGTTAATGTGTGTGTACATTCAGGTGTGTTAATGTGTGTGTGTACATCCACGTTTTTTAATGTGTGTGTGTATATGTACGTGTGTAGGTGTCCGTGTTGAAGTATACCTTGAGTTTATACAACCAGACTAAATATTTGACCCGTGTAGGGAAAGTGAAGAGTTTGTATTTGCAGCTGGAAGCTGGTAGAGGTGATGAACATTCAGGCTGAGGCCATGACCGAGTTGTTGCACGTTCTCCGTGATCGCCGAGCTTCTGTGCGGGTAGGTGAAGGGAGGCAACTCTTGTAACCTGGGATTTGTCTCATTCCTCGAGCAGCCTGTGGTTAGAATAATTCATTTTACAGTTCAAGACATTTCTGTGGTAAGATTAAAGCATATGATCTGATTGAATCGCTAATAAGCATCCTATTTGAGGATTGCATATCGCGACAGAGAGTCGTATATAGTTTGTCATGCTATGATACTGCGTTGGATAAATTCGCTTGGAAAGTAAGAGTTGATGAAGTTGGTTTCATTCTACCAAGCGATCACAGTTGACAAAAGTTAGTTTCATGCCACCAAGAGATCACAGTTGACAAACGTTAGTTTCATGCCACCAAGAGATCACAGTTGACAAACGTTAGTTTCATGCCACCAAGAGATCACAGTTGACAAACGTTAGTTTCATGCCACCAAGAGATCACAGTTGACAAACGTTAGTTTCATGCCACCAAGAGATCACAGTTGACAAACGTTAGTTTCATGCCACCAAGAGATCGCAGCTGACAAACGTTAGTTTCATGCCACCAAAGAGATCACAGTTGACAAACGTTAGTTTCATGCCACCAAGAGATCACAGTTGACAAACGTTAGTTTCATGCCACCAAGCGATCGCATATGATATAGTTATACCACACCTGCAATATATGGACCACGTATATGGTTACATCACAAGCACTACATATGGACCATGACTATGGTTACATCACAAGCACTACACGTATATGGACCACGTATATGGTATATTTACATCACAAGCACTACATATGGACCACGTATATGGATTTACATCACAAGCACTACATATGGACCACGTATATATGGTTACATCATAGTCGCAATATATGGACCACATTTGTTGAAGACATTTCTCAAACTGTATCTTAAAACATGTGTTTCTCTCACTCTGCTTTCAGAGAGCTGCGAAATAAGGATTGCTTAGAACTTACAACACATAACCAGTGACCTGATATTGTCCCCTCACGAGTGACATCACTGGTGATTAACAAAACGCTCACTTACTCCGACGCAGCGGCAGCTTTTGTTCTGTTCTATTACCCGGTTCGTGCTGGGGCATTCATATCATGAACTGCATATTACGGTGATAACTAACTTTACACAGACACACACACAGACACACACACAGACACAGAACACAGACACACACACAGACACACACACACACACACACACACACACACACACACACGTATGTCAATATCGTTGGTATTCTTAAAGAGGTATTAGTTCTACTTATTCGACTATTTGATTGACATTTAAGTTCTGCTTATGTTCTGCATAAACAGCTTTATCTGACATTATCTAGAAATTGTAACTACTTGGCAATATGTTTCTCAAATCTAGATAGTCAGCCAGTAGTTAACTACAAATGCATCTAATCAAGACATCTTGTAGTGTTAACGATAATGTCAAACAATGTTTTGTCGAAATTCGGTTGTTGTCGAAGTGAAGTTATTTCGGCGAATTCCTTATTAATCATCAATTTGCGGCTGTGCCTAACCTCGGATAACTCGAAGAATTTACCCAGGTCTCTTAACTTCGACACAGATGTTTGACTGTACTTAAATAGGAAATGTATTGCATGAACATTCCTGGTCTCCATTTTGATCGCCTTCAGGTGTATTCCAGTCATCGTATATACCTGTCTGTACTGGCGCTTTATCATCACTCAAATTATACTACTGCATGGTTTTATTTAAAGAATATAATTCTATTTCAAAATTTTAATAATCATAAATAATTCCGCATAATACACATGTGTTAATGGGTATTTCAACGTCTTATCTTTGAAATATATTTGCTTAATAGGGTTAACAAGTTTCCTTTGCCCAAAGTTCAATACTCTGATGTACATATATAAATAGAAACTATAACGTGTTCAGCTGTAAATATGGGAGGTGACATTATTCAGTTATGTGTTTTGTTGCGCTCAGTGGTGAAGGCGAAATAATATAATTACAGAGGGTTAGTTGTCTCAATAGTTCTAAATGGGCATCCACAACTGAAACCACGCAAACTCTTAATCATATGCTTTTAAGTCCCATGCTGTAGCCGTTATACTGTTAGTCCTGAAGTTTGTTGTTCCGTCGCCCATAACATCGGTGTGTGTCAGCAAACACAGTTCCTGCTTTACGAATGACGTCATTGGTAACTGTTTCTCGGACCTGCGATACACATTTATAGACCTAAGTATACCTAGAGTGTAGATCGAATGATGGGAAGGTTTAATTGTACGCGACTACTGAACTGCTATTTAGAACATCAGCCAGTTTTGGTAAATATATCATCCATTGATAACTGAAGCCGAATACGCATGTATATACCATACTGCTCAGTACACCAAGTAATACCTGCCACAAACATGCATGCGATACATGCTACTCTGACTATGCAGTTGCTTTAAGGTGGATATTGTGTTGAACACCTTAAACCTTTCTAAATGAATTAATCTTGTAATAAAATGAGCGCAAAAGTGTTAACATTTGTTTTGTTTCAAATATTGATGTGTTCATGCACAACACATGGCCAGTTTATTTACTGTAACAGATGTATTAGGTTTTGAAAATCACTCCTGTAAACTGGACACAAATATAATTGTGTCATTCTTATGCAGCTATATGTGTTCAGTGCTGTTTGCAGTGAAGACCGATACCAACGTGTATGGAAGAAAGGACTAAATGGAGGGTGTAAGATAATAACACTCTTACGTTCGATGCTCACAAGGGTTTGTTTTGGTTCAAAAATATTCCAGCTATGTGGCAGCAGTCTTTAAATAATCGAGCCTGGACAAGACAATCCAATGATTAAAAGCATGAGCATCGATCTGCGCAACTGGGATACGATGACATGTGTTAAAACAAGTCAGCAGCCTGACCACCGATCCCGTTAGTCGCCTCTTACGACAAGCATCGGTTGCTGGTGACCAGTTATAACCCGGATATCAGAAGGGACAACATCACTGTATGCCTGTGGTCGTACATCCAATACATTGACATAAACTTACGTCCTTAATCTAAGCTGTATAGAACAAGGCCGAGGGCTATATGTTCTCAGATGAAAGATGCCCTAGGCGTATCAACATTCATTTCATAGGACAAAGTTCAATAATCAGTCACTGTTGGTAAACCCAACTCTCCATAATGGTGAAGAGTGATTGGTGATTAAGGCAAAAGTGATTATTCTCGAAACATCAATGCCACAATTACAGGATTGGGAAGATGCAGTGTTGTTCATTGGTTACCGGAAACGAACTATTTGCTTGTAACAAAATGAGGATGCACAAATTCAAATACATATATGTAAGTACGTTTTGAAAATTGGTAAAATTACAAGTAATGTTATGGTTGTTGATAAACTATTCAGAACTAGGTTATGCAACACAGTCCCAACACGTTGGCGGTTGGAAGACATAACTGAGTCCGCAGATTTACAAAACTTGAAATGCAGTCTTGAAGAATTATACAATGCTCACAATAATATCTGTCTGATACAGTAATAGGACATGAATGTCTCATCAGCTTTTGACGTGAATCGGTTTGTCTTTCCGTGATCATCATCATCATTATATTAACGATCATACGTTAACACAATGCATGACAAAGGAAAATCATATTGTGCTAACTACTTGAAAGGTTTATTGAAAAGTAATATGTGTCGATAGCCTGAAACTAAAATAGATTAAATAAAACGCAATAACGTTGCTACAAATATTTTTACCGATCATTAATGGTCGGTTGATTACAAGTGTAATAAAAGAACTGACATGTAACTGTTCCCAAACGGGTTACACAACCATATCTCAATTAGCACATAGAAGAAATGTCGTATATATAAACTGACACGCATGCAACAAATCTCTTACCTACTATCAGGCCCATGACGAGACGTGTGGCTCGTTAAAACTAATGTGGGGTGTCTTCTTGATGCAAGGTAGACAGTTTGTGTTCTAGCTTTATCTCAGAAAACAACCCCGAACGCATTACCTTCAACAAACAACATCAACGAGTAACAACCTTTTTATGGATGTGCAAAATGCAAAACACAATTCATGAAACAGAAGAACTTGAACAGAAATGTGACGAACTGGCCATCCTACAATTAAAGGTACTCACCGTCACTCCAACAGTCGTGATGTGTAAAGCATCTTGATGCTGCGGTCATACTTCACGTAATCTTCGACGTTTTCTTCAGAAAATCTGTACTATAAAGAAGCTGTACAACATCTCTTCTTAGAGGACATGCTGTGCAGGATTCTTGAATAATAACTTGTACTGGTCCAGCAATCCGTGTGAAGTGACTGGAATGGTTCAAGTAAAACAGTTCAGAAAAACATGTGAACCTGTCTGTTCTGTCGTCAACTCGACTTATTCATGGATTCAGATAAGTTTAACTTTGTATTAGTTTGTCTTATGTCAGCCCTCATTGTCCTCCGTATATTGTCATCACTGGTTTACCTTCTACATCCCTCTTGCAGAATTAATTGTCCATTTATAAGTGAATCCTTCATTGTTCTTAGCTTTTACAAATCGAATGGAATCTCTTTCTCGAGATAATCGAGACAAATTATTATGTTGAGTTGATGTTTCTGATTTTCATTACTTGAATTTGCAGAAAGCGTGCAAATAATTACTTGTTCATGTATAAGTGTACCTTTCATTGGTATTGGCTTTCACACCGAATGGAATCCTTTCGGGAGATAATTGAGGCAGAGTATTCTGTTGCGTTGATGTTTTTGATTTGCATTACTTGTATTTGCAGAAAGCGTGCCACAGCGAATTCTGCAACAGAGTGATTCTAAATAGGTTTTGGTTAATCAGAGACACCAGAAATGAAATTTGTTTCATCAGTATATCAGTTACAGTTCCAAGGTCGTGTCATTATGACTAATCTATTCATCAAGGCTACTCAGTGTTGAATGAGTATAACAAAGACGTTATTTTTTCCAAAACTGCAGAGAAAAATCATAGTTGGTCATTTCATCAGACGGATTTCTATTAAGGTATATTCAGGCTTCATCATGTTAAACGAATCAGATAATGTTTCGTTGACCTGTGAGGTCCCAAAGCGTCTTGATCGAGCCATATTCATCGTTATTGCTTCAGTTGGTTCCATCATGGCGCTCCTTGGAACGATTGGCAGTTGCATGATAATGGTGGTGTACATAAAAACCAAATCTTTGAGAGCAGTTCCCAGCAATATACTTCTTATTAACGTGGCTGTCGTAGACGCAATAAGTTGCACACTCGGGTTCCCTATCTATTTAATTTCCTCCATCGTACCACAGTTGCGATGTAATTCAGTATTTGTTTTCGGGCATACATTTTCATGTTGTCTTTTATTTGTATTTCATTAATTTCTTTCGAGCGTTTCTATGGTATTCGGTTTCCATTTGTATATTGCGAATTTGTCACAGTGAGAAAAATGTTCACTGTCGTGATGTTGTCTTGGCTGCTGTGCCTGACCATATTGTTGGCGGAAGATTTGTTAGAGGTATATATGGTTCCAAAAACATTTACCTGTACTTTACTGGAATTGTCTTGAGCATACTGCTATTACTTACTTTAGCTTCCTATGGCTATGTGTACGTCACCAGCAAAGTTCATTTGCAACAGGATACGCGCTATCAGATCAGAACGACAAGTCAATCTCAAGCAGCTGTTCTAATGGGTATTGTCTTTGATATATCCTGGATTGGTCCTCTTGGGATTTGGATGGTAGGCAGACATGTGAACATACAACACTTGGTGGAGGCTAGTATCCTATTTCTACTCACCAGTCCTGTATCCAACGTTTGGGTATATGCTTTCAGAATGACGAATTTCAAACAGGCATTTAGAAAGGTTTACAGAGATTGCAGAGTAGCCCCATCACAAAATACAACTACCGTCTCCTTTTTAGGTGCACAGACTTCCCCACGACATGCCCACCCTAACATTTCCTGAAGGATAATTGTTCAGTTTCATGATACAAAGTGCTTGTTCATTGTTGTACAGCTTTAAACTCTCGTTTGACTCAAGAGTCAAAATTAAATCAGGTAGCCATTGTTTCCCCATGCTTTTTACTCAATGTTCAATCAAAAGCGATAATGAACTGCATTATGACACATGCCACCACACAGTTTGTATCGACCTCACCAGATACACCATCATGTTCCTATTTTAATTACCTTTCAAATTTTGTTTGACACCTTTTCACCTCTATCAGAATACTCGGTCTAATGTTTTGATTCGAACTCTGTTGGTGCTGGTAGATGTTTCTTTCTCATTCTGATCGTTGAGAATAGGCTTGAGTTTGTTCTGGAATTGTTCCACTATTTTCGGTAGACGTGTCGTCAGGCTAATTGTACGTGACGAAAACCAGTCTGTGATTTTGGGCAATGTTGTTTTGGGGCATGTTTATAAACATGTTTATAAACATAGTTTGTGCTTTGTTCTTGTTTTCGGTAACACCCAACAGCCTATCCAATCATAAACATGGAGGACATACTTTGGTACAACTACCTTGGTACTACTTACGTCATGTTGTTTCCTATGACATTGTTTTGATAATTCTTAATCCCTAATACTCGATGTTTGTTCTAAATTATTGTTGTACATTCTACTTATATAATATTCAAATTTCACAATGTGTTCTTATGTCGTGTGTGTGCATCTATATCCTAATAAAACGATGAATATATACTCTTGCTTAGGATATCTTAGGTCATTGTATTATTTACTATGGTTCATTCATTTCTTGGCTCATTCCTTAACTCGACTACATGTATATTAGTTACATGTAATTTATAATTTATGAGTGACGAGGAATGGCGAAATATCTGCCCAGAGCGACATATAGAAGTGTAAATCCTGAGCCTTGGTTAAGGACAGATATGCTGTTATGCTATTTAACTGGTATCTATTTTTTGTTTACAATTCTTCGCCAAGTCCTAGAATAAGAAGCTAACAGGATGAAAAAGCAGAGGCAACAGAGGCAAATATGCATTTTCATTATGTTCATACGAAACGGCATCAAAGCCATGGAATTATACCTGATACAATGCTGATCAACAAGATTTCGTGAGTGCCAAATGTACACATTGAAAAATACACTAAACGCCAAAAAGAAACGTTACCCTCCTTTCTTAATGACGGAGGTACCTATCTTCAGCTGGCGTTGTGATGTGTGGACGTCCACTTCTTGGTCTGTCTACGGTGAGTCTGTCTGAAGTCCTGAATAGGTCTTATAACCGTGATACGGTGGCACCCGAGGGCGTTGGCAACAGCATTGTATGTAGACCCCATCTGCACCATCCCAATGGCTCTTTCTCTCTCTTCTGTTGTTAATCGTGGCACATTTCTCGTACTTGTGTATCATATCATGTATTCTAGGCTCTCGTCATACCCTATAGAATCATTCTACATGTGAAATGGATGGCGATTGATATAGCTATGTGTAAACAGAAAATAGAAAAATATTACTTTGCAAAGCAAAAATGTTAACAAAGATAATTTTAGATGTTCCTAAACATTTTTTCACAATATCAAAGACACGTTTCATTTGTTTTCACTATGCAAATCAGCAGAAAATGTTTTAAAAGCCTGTAATCACAGGAATGATTATTTTACAATTTTACACACTCTACAACAGTTGTTTCTTGTTTTAATAGTTGAAAAATGGTGACTTTAAATTGTTTATCATTGTCCCAAAGCAGAATTATTTCAACCTTTCTTTTGGACATCTAAATCACTGGTTTATTACTAAATTGGTTTATTTCGGCATGGACGAATATTGGACAATTTAACGCTTCTAAAGACATGCATTTCACCTAAATATGAATGTATTTGAGAAATTTTTTTCGTGATTTGCATAAAGCTGTGTTGTTAAGCTTTCATGTAAACTAATACCTTCTAACATATCTTTGAGAGTTTTTCAGTAATTCATAAAGTTAGGAGGGTAACGTTTCTTTTGGCGTTTAGTGTATAGCCATCTATATTCACATCATAGTAGCATTTTATATGAACAATTATAAAAGAAATGCACCAGAGTACCACTATTAACGTCAAATTCTCATATTGTCGAGTGAAATGTAACATTTGACTGATATAATCACTAACATTCCTATCTGTACCAAAAGCAAAAAAAGAAAGTGATAAAAAACCAGCTGAACACGATAACCACTGACCTGGCGTTATCGTCACAGGCAACAAGCGATCAACTCTACCTTTGTACCAGGAAGACAAGGTATACAAGGAGCGGCACACAGCAGGCACACGACAGCACTGGACACAAGGTAAATACATACCCTAACTTACACCATCAGAAACGACATAATACATGACAACTACGACAGATCGCCTCCTTGAGTGACATTTTAGAAGTTGGGAAGTGCTATATAAAAAAATAAATGGATAACAACTTTTATTCGTGAGTGCAACGTTTCGATACAGACTCTTGTGCTTGACAACGGTACAAGAATCTGTATCGAAACGTCGCACTCACGAATAAAAGAAGTTGTTACCCATAAAGTTTGTTCTAGATTATATGACAGATCTATCGACGTAGCTAATTCGATCAAAAGTTTTACATAAATTGTTTAACTGTAATCTAATGATTGTTTCATATATGAAAATAAAATGCGATTGGCATTTAGTTTTAAATCTTGCATGGAAACATGCATATATTTATGATACATTTGAAAATATAATTCGTACAAACATTAAATATTCACTGAATTTCAGCTGTAATATTCTGCTTCACCTGGTTCATGCTCTTAAAAATCCTGATAACCACGTTACGGTGTAAGACAATAGACGTATTATATTGTGTATGCAGATTGTGCAACTGTCAAAATAGCGGTGTTGGGAGCCACGTAGATACGTGCACCTATTGTCGATAGCACACAGCGTCCTTCATCTTAACATGTTCACTTATACTGAATATACTGAAATGTATATTGGAAGGGTTTGTCCGACGCCGGGAGAAGTAAATACGCCAACAGTCAAACAATGTGTGAGAGAGTGTGTATGTGTGTGTGCGCGATAGTGTGTGTGAGAGAGAATGAGAGTATATGTGTGTGCGTGTGTGTGAGTGAAAGAGTGCGTATGATAGAGGATGATAGTGTACATGTGTCTGTGCGTATGTGTGAGAGTGTATGTGATAGAGGATGAGAGTGTATATGTGTGTGAGACAGAGAGAGAGAGAGTGATTGTGTGAGAGAGGATGAGAGTGTATATGTGTGTGTGCTTGTGTGTGACAGAGTGATTGTGTGAGAGAGGATGAGAGTGTATATGTGTGTGCGTGTGTGTGAGAGAGGATGAGAGTGTATATGTGTGTGTGCGTGTGTGTGAGTGAGACAGTGCGTATGATAGAGGATGATAGTGTATATGTGTGTGTGCGTTCGTGTGAGTGTATGTGATAGAGGATGAGAGTGTATATGTGTGTGAGACAGAGAGAGAGAGTGATTGTGTGAGAGAGGATGAGAGTGTATATATGTGTGTGCTTGTGTGTGACAGTGTGTGTGTGAGAGAGGATGAGAGTGTATATGTGTGTGTGCTTGTCTTTGAGAAAGAGTGCGTGTGCGAGAGGATGAAGTGTATGTGTGTGTGTGCCATACATGTGTGTGTGCTTGTGTGTGAGAGAGAATGCGTGTGAGAGAGGATGAGAGTGTATATATATATGTGTGTGCGTGTGTGTGAGAGACAGTGCGTGTGAGAGAATAACAGTGTATATGTGTGTGTGCGTGTGTGTGAGAGAGTGTGTGTGAGAGAGGACTTTAGAGAGTGTATATGTGTGTGTGCGTGAGAGTGCATGTGATAGAGGATGAGAGGGTATATGTGTGTGTACGTTTGTGTGAGAGAGGGTGTGTGAGAGAGGATAAGTGTATATATGTGTGTGCGTGTGTGTGAGAGAGAGTGTGTGAGAAAAGATGAGAGTGTAAATGTGTGTGTGCGTGTGTGAGAGAGATATTTTATAAGAGAGGATGAAATGTATATGTGTGTGCGTGTGTGTGAGAGAGAGGATGAGAGTGTATATGTGTGTGTGCCTGTGTGTGAGAGAGCGTGTGTGAGAGAGGATCAGAGTGTATATGAGTGTGTGCCTGTGTGTGTGTGAGAGAGAGGATGAGAGTGTTTATGTGTGTGGGCGTGTGTGTGAGAGAGAGTGTGTGAGAGAGGAATAGAGTGCATATGTGTGCGTGCGTGTCTGTGAGAGATTTTGTGAGAGAGATGATGAATGATGAGAGAGTGTATGTGTGTGTGCGTGTGTGTGAGAGAGATTTTGTGAGAGAGAGGATGAGAGTGTGTATGCGTGTGTCAAATATACATGTGTGTGTGCGTGCGTGAGTGCCTGCGTTAGTAAACTAGGGCCCGACAATGTAGTAGTGTTCTTGTTTAAATTGAGACAATGTATCATTAGTTTAGGTGTAGTATAAATACTTACACCTATGCTCTGCAGCAATTTTAACTATACTTCAGGACTTCATGTAGCCCAGGTTCTGCCGAGACGATGTCTTGAGTAAGTCAGGATAAGCTCTCGTTTGGGGGCTTCCTTGTTTCAGCGTTAGTTGATAGTAATTCGACTGGAGGGTCTTAACATTGCACGGGTTGTATGAGTACAGATCACCATTATTTACGTGACGTAGCTGGAATATTGCTGAGTCAAGGATTTAAAAAAATCAACAAAAAAACCCAGCAACATAAAAACAACCAAAACAAAACCAACAAAAACACACACACAACCCCCCCACCCTCCAAAAACAACAACAACAACAAAAAAGCCTCCCTATGAGAAGAGCAATAGTAAAGGTGAAAGAGTATAGTTGGTGGGTAGGTTTGTCGTTCATGTTTAACGCCGCACTCAGCAATATTCCAGCTATGTGACGGCGGTCTGTAATTAATCGAGTCTGGACCAGACAATCCAGTGATCAACATCATGAGCATCGATCTACCTACATGATAACAGACATAGTAGTCCTTCAGCTTCTTTCTGATATGCAGGCGACATGGATGATGACATGAGAATACAGTTGTCGTGCTCTGTGTGCCTGGACCTGTATACAGATCCCCTTTTACTTCCGTGCCTTCACTCCCTATGTCGCCAGTGCGTGCACAATCTGGTAGCCTGCGGAATCCCAGAGTGTCCAGAATGTAAAAATGCGATACCACCTGATCCAAACACACTGCCAAAAAACTTTCCATTGAGTAGCCTGGTTGCCATTTACAAACAGTCTATGACCACTTCTTCCCGACCTACTGCCGAAAGTGTATTGACGCGTGTTACCGGAGCACAGGAGCAGACGACAAGACTAACGGTGGCGTCATCATCTCAGAGGTCGTGGTCTTCTTATGAGCCCATCTTCAACAGACAGTGCAGCGCTTGTGACGCAGGGGAGAATACCCCTTCGGAGGTCGCATGTCTAACATGCAGCATCGCCTTCTGCGTGCCCTGTTTGGAAGAATGTCACCCGAATGATAACGGTCATGCTCTTGTTTCTCTTGAAGAAGCTGAAATGGTAATGTCATGGTTTCAGTATGGTAACATATCTGGCGTATTAAACCTGTAAAGCTGCATTAGCTAAATAATACACCAATGTGTTCATGGATTAGCCGTCCACGATTAGTGTCAAGAACTTACCATTAATTATACATACATTTCGGGGCCGTCACACATGACTCTATTTACACCGGCACCATCACACATGACACTATTTACACCGGGACCGTCACACATGACACTATTTACACCGGGATCGTCACACATGACACTATTTACACCGGGACCGTCACACATGACACTATTTACAACAGGGCCTACACAGATGACACTATTTATACCGGGATCGTCACACATGACACTATTTACACCGGGGCCGTTACACATGACACTATTTACACCGGGGCCGTCACACATGACACTATTTACACCGGGGCCGTCACACATGACACTATTTACACCGGGACCGTCACACCTGACACTATTTACACCGGCACCGTCACACATGACACTATTTACACCGGGGCCATTGTCACGTGACACTATTTACACCGGGACGGTCACACATGACACTATTTACATCGACACCTTCACACATGACACTATTTACATCGGGACGGTCACACATGACACTATTTACACCGGGATCGTCACACATGACACTATTTACACCGGCACCGTCACACATGACACTATTTACACCGGGGCCGTCACACATGACACTATCTGTTCCTTCCATTTCCATCCACGTGTGTTGTGATCCTGTGGTCCTTGTGGGACCGTCCGGTGTGATCCATTCCTTGGCCATTCCGGGACTATTCTTCGTCCATCGGTTCCTTGATTCCGGGCCTGGTTCGTCCATTCCGGTCTTCGGGTCCTTGATTCCATCCATTTGGTCCGTGTTATTCCGGGTCCTTCCGGGTCGTTCGTTCCTGGATCGTTGTTCCGTTCGTCCGTGTTCGGGTTCGTCCGCGGCTCTTCGTCCGTCCATTTCCATTCCGTCGGCTCGGTCCACGTGTTCCTGGGTCTTCGATCTTCCTTCGATCCGTTCGTTATTTCCGTATTCGTCTGTGGTCGTGTTCGTCGTTTCGATCTGGGTCGGTGGTCGGATTCCGTATTTATTTATTTTCGTCCATCCGTCCGTGTTCCATCGACCGTCCTTGGCCTATTCCGGGTTATTCCGGTCCATTCTTCCATTCCATTCCGTTATTCCACCTGGATCGTCCGGGGCCGTCACACATGACTCTTTTACACCGGCAACGTCACACATGACAGTATTTACAACGGCACCATCACACATGACACTGTTTGCAACGGCACCGTCACACACAACTCTATTTACACCGGGACCGTCACACGTGACACTATTTACACCGGTGACGTCACACATGACACTGTTTACACCGGCACAGTCACACGTGACACTATTTACATCCGGGACCATCACACATGACACTGTTTACACCGGGGCCATTACACATGACACTATTTACAACGGCACCGTCACATCTGACACTGTTTATATCAGGGCCATCACGCATGACACTATTTACACCGGCACCGTCACACATGACACTATTTACTCCGGAGCCATCACACATGACACTACTTACACCAGCACCATCACACATGACACTGTTTACACCGAGACCGTCACACATGACATTATTTACACCGGCACCGGTACACATGACATTATTTACACTGGGACCATCACACATGACACTATTTACACCAGGGCCTTCACACATGACACTGTTTACACCGGCACAGTCACACGTGACACTATTTACTCCGGGATCATCACACATGACACTATTTACACCGGCAACGTCACATCTGATACTGTTTACATCGGGGCGGTCACACATGAGACTATTTACACCGAGACCGTCACACACAACGCTATTTACACCGGGTCCGTTAGACATGACACTGTTTACACCTGGATCATCACACATGACAATATTTACAACGGGACCGTCACAGATGACACTATTTACACCAGGACCGTCACACGTGACACTATTTACACCGGTGCCGTCACACATGACTCTATTTACACCGTCACCGTCACACATGACACTATTTACATCGGCACCATCACACTTGAAACTATTTAAACCGGCTCGGTCACACGTGACACTTTTCACACCGGCACCGCCACACTTGACACTCTTTAAACCGGCAGCGGCACACGTGACACTATTTTCAACGGGGCTGTCACACATGACACTTTTTACACCTACACCATCACAATTGACACTATTTACACCGGCACCTTCACACATGACACTATTTACACCGAGGTCGTCATACTTGACACTATTTACACCGGCACAGTCTTACGTGACACTATTTACACCGGGGCCATCACACATGAGACTATTTACACCTGGACCATCACAGAAGACTCTACTTACACTGGGACCGGCACACTTGACACGATTTACACCGGCACCATCACACTTGACTCTATTTACACCGGCACCGTCACACGTGACACTATTTACACCGGCACCATCACACTTGAAACTATTTACACCGGGACTGTCACACGTGAGACTATTTACACTGGCACCATCACAATTGACACTATTTACACCAACACCGTCACACGTGACACTCTTTACACCGGGACCATCACACTTGACTCTATTTAAACTGTCACCGTCACACGTGACACTATTTACATCGGCACCGTCACACTTGGCACTATTTACACCCGCACCGTTGCACTTGACACTATTAAAACCGGGACCGTTGCATTTAAATTTGTTTACACCGGCACCGTCTCATGTGACACTATTTACACCTGGGGAGTCTCAGATGACACTATTTACACCGGCCCCATCATACGTGACACTATTTACACCGGCACCGTCAGACTTGGCACTATTTACACCCGCACCGTTGCACTTGACACTATTAAAACCGGGACCGTTGCATTTAAATTTGTTTACACCGGCACCGTCACACGTGACTCTATTTACACCGGCACCGTCACACGTGACACTATTTACTCCGGCACCGTCACTCTTGGCACTATTTACACCCGCACCGTTGCACTTGACACTATTAAAACCGGGACCGTTGCATTTAAATTTGTTTACACAGGCACAGTCACACGTGACACTATTTACATCGAGGGAGTCACACGTGACACTATTTACAACGGCACCATCACACGTAAGACTATTCACACCTGGACTCTATTTACACCGGCACCGTCACACGTGACACTATCTACACCAGGACCGTCTCACGTGACACTATTTACACCTGCACCATCACACGTGACACTAAATACACCGGCACCTTCACACATGACACTATTTACACCGGGGCCGTCACACGTGACACTATTTACAGCTGCACCGTCATAGATGACACTATTTACACCGGGGCCATCACAGATGATACTATTTACACTGGCACGATCTCACATAAGCCTATTTACACAGGCACCGTCACAACTTGACACTATTTACACCGGGACCGTCACAATAGACTCTATTTACACCGGCACCGTCACACGTGACACTATGTACACCGGGGCCATGACAGATGACACTATTTACACCGGCACCGTCACACATGACACTATTTATACCGGGACCGTCACACGTGACACTGTTTACTCCGGCACCGTCACACGTGACACTATTTACACCTGGACCGTCACAATAGACTCTATTTACACCGGCACCGGCACACGTAACACTATTTACACCGGCACCGTCACACATAAGACTATTTACACCTGCACCGTCACACATGACACTATTTACACCTGGACCGTCACATATGACACTATTTATACCGGGACCGTCACACGTGACACTATTTACAACGGGTCTGTCACAGAAGACACTTTTTACAACGGGGCCGTCACACGTGACACTATTTACAACTGCACCGTCAAACGTGACACTATTTACACCGGCACCTTCACACATGACACTATTTACACCGGCGCCGTCACACGTGACACTTTTTACACCCGCACCGTCACTCATGACACTATTTACATCGGGGCCGTCACACTTGACACTATTTACGTCATGACCGTCACAGATGACACTATTTACACCGGTGCCGTCTCACATGGCCCTATTTACACCGGGGCCGTCACACGTGACACTATTTACACCGGGGCCGTCACAGTTGACACTATTTACACCGAGGCCGTCACAGATGACACTATTTACATCGGGGCCGTCACAGATGACATAATATACATTGGCACCGCCACACTTGACACTATTTACACCGGGGCCGTCACAGATGACACTATTTACACCTGGACCGTCACACGTGACACTATTTACACCGGGGCTGTCACACGTGACAATATTTACATCGGGGCCGTCACTGATGACACTATTTACACCAGCACCGTCACACATGACACTATTTACACCGGCACCGTCACACTTGACACTGTATACAACATATAGAACAAGATATGACATCAGTGCATCACGAGTCCATACAACGTATACCATATTTGAGTGAATTATCACATAATGGTATGTCTGTATTTTAAACTGGTTGTGTTATCCTGTACTTTAAACGCGGTGATGATTCTCATCGGGAACTTGTCTATTCTGTTCACAGACTACTATTTGTGCAATCTGCAACTTTTCCTCAGTCACCACGTGTATTGAGTGTCAGATGTCTTTCTGCATGCCTTGTCTCGGGAACTACCACCCCACAATACGTTCGGCTCCCGGCCACACCCTTCTACCAACTCCAACCCGAAGGCGCCACAGTAGCAGCGAGCCATCGGTTCCTCAGAGGTCTTTCAGTGAATCCCATTGGGGACGGGAAGCTCAAGTTTACTATGGTAACAGCTCAATTCCGGAAAGAGGCCAATCGACCCTGTCTGTGGCGACAGTTAGAGATGACAGACACGTCCAGGTACACACATGACAGCATGAGTGAGTGAGTAATTTTTAGTCTAATATTCTGTCGACGTCAAGCATATTTTGGCATCACATGTAATATTTTTTTATGGGAAATTCCAGCCTGATCTCCACCTAGCATTGTTACCAAGGTTAGTACAATGGTATAAGATATATTCTCCACCTAGCATTGTTACCAAGGTTAGTACAATGGTATAAGATATATTCTCCACCTAGCATTGTTACCAAGATTAGTACAATGGTATAAGATATATTCTCCACCTAGCATTGTAACCAAGGTTAGTACAATGGTATAAGATATATTCTCCACCTAGCATTGTTACCAAGGTTAGTACAATGGTATAAGATATATTCTCCACCTAGCATTGTTACCAAGGTTAGTACAATGGTATAAGCTATATTCTCTACCTAGCATTGTTACCAAGGTTAGTACAATGGTATAAGATATATTCTCCACCTAGCATTGTTACCAAGGTTCGTACAGTGGTATAAGATATATTCTTCACCTAGCATTGTTAACATTGTTAGTACAATGGTATAAGATATATTCTCCACCTAGGATTGTTACCAAGGTTAGTACAATGGTATAAGATATATTCTCCACCTAGCATTGTTACCAAGGTTAGTACAATGGTATAAGATATATTCTCCACCTAGCATTGTTACCAAGGTTAGTACAATGGTATAAGATATATTCTCCACCTAGCATTGTTACCAAGGTTAGTACAATGGTATAAGATATATTCTCCACCTAGCATTGTTACCAAGGTTAGTACAATGGTATAAGATATATTCTCCACTTAGCATTGTTACCAAGGTTAGTACAATGGTATAAGATATATACGTTGCTCTTCCAGGAACAACTGATAGAAGTAATGAACCGTCAACAACGCGTTATTCTGGAACTGATGGACGTGTTTGGGAGGGAACGTCATGAGGTGAGCGAATAATAGCTGTACGACCGTTGCTTCTGATGCTCTTCCAGTCATTGTGCTAATGCCATGCAATAGGGGTCACTGAATGTTTCCCATGCAATATGACCCCTAAAGATCTCTTTTCCCATGTGAGCGGTCATCTCATTGTTAACTACCTGAGGGAAGTTGACCTGTATCATAAATTGTAACTATGTAATGTGAATAAAGAATTGCTTGCTTTTCAATTTAGTGCTATGAAATGTTCTGTTTTTAAATAATATTGTAATGAATATTTATGTTTTTAAGATAAAATTCATTTGGACTTGGTACTTAAAATGTTTATAGATGCAGACTTGATCTCGTCACTGTATGGCTGTAATAATGCCGATGTGACGTAAAGCCCAACTCAAACTCAAACAATACGATCCGTGAAGATCCGGGTTAGAATGGGTCTTCCGAGAGACATGATGTAACGAAACGATGTGACAGTGGTGTAAATATTACCGTTTGCAACTTGTACTTTGTACTCTCCCAACTAAATAAAGAATATATAATATGCTTGTCGTAAGAAGCGACTAGCGGGATTGGGTGGTCAGGCTTGCTAACTTGGTTGAGTCATCGTATCACAATTGCGTAGATTAATGCTCATGCTGTTGATCACTGGATAGTCTGATCCAGACTCGATTATTTACAGACCGCTGCCATATAGGTGGAAGATAAACAATAAACAATAAACTGCAAACTAATTCATGCAATACACTAAACATTTGTTTGTATTTGGAAAAAAAACGTTTATAAAATGACCAAGCTGTTATACGCGCATGCCTTTGTTGTAGTCACTTTCCATATCAGACTAAGAAACGCATAATTGTGAGAAGCGTCATAAAATCATACAACCGCAAACTGAAATGTGCTCTTTGATTTTCAGACTTAAAGCGAAGCATACCTTGAAAGATTCATCACACCCCGGCTGAGTTGGGACTCATTACTTTCACAAAGATGAGATGTTATATACATGTCCTAACAAAACCATAAAGCAATAAACAATACAAATATTGAGATCGAGTGACAAACGTAGCTTTCACAATTAATCACTGTCAGTTAGTCAGTTAAATATATAGGTACCAAATAACGATGGTTTCACTATCTAGTCCTCGGCCAAAGTCCTCCAGTATTTAGTATGACACCTCCCACCCTTCAAAAAGTCTTGTTGATATGGAACTAGCCACATAATGTATCAGATTACTAACACAACATATACCCCACTATGGAAAAGGTGTCCACATGTTCATAGACCAACTGCATGACCATTAGCCACATGATGTCCTTGGAGTGGTTCTTGTTATGTTCCCAGGGGTGGTTCTTGTTATGTTCCCATAAGTGGTTCTTGTTATGTTCCCAGGAGTGGTTCTTGTTATGTTCCCAGGAGTGGTTCTTGTTATGTTCCCAGGAGTGGTTCTTGGTATGTTCCCAGTATACACAATTTACACAGTCGATTGTTACGGAGTGGTTCTTGTTATGTTCCGAGGAGTGGTTCTTCTTAGGTCCCCAGAAGTGGTTCTTGTTAGGTTCCCAGAAGTGATTCCTGTCATGTGTCCAGTATTCACAATTCACACAGTGAATTAACACGCGGACTACCACGATCTCTACGCCATCCTCCTCCATATATTTCAGTGATGGCAGTTCTCAAACTCTTAATTAACAAGGATGTATATATTTGCGAAGCGTGAATGTACATGCATAATGATCAGCTGCAAGATGTGATTTACCTTTTTGATACAAACACAGTTTACATGATTCACTGTACATGTTGATTGCATTCGTTTATTCTCTGTACAAAGTGATGTAGAAAAAATAGTACTACCATTGTCTATGATTCAATGACGACCATAATCGCCAGTGAACAATACTTTTTACATGTGATGTCTTTGTTTGCACGATTCTGTTGAGAATATAACATTGAAATATAGAAACTCTGTTTTGGATATCTGTAGACATAGAAAACTATTTCTACAATTATTTAAACTATCTCGTGTAATTGTCTACGTCAATGTACGACCACAGGCTTACAGTGTTGTTGTCCCTTGTGACATCCGGGTTAGAACTGATCTTCAGTAACCCATGCTTGTCGTAAGAGGCGACTAACGGGATCGGGTGGTCAGACTCGCTGACTTGGTTGACACATGTCATCGTATCCCAGCTGCGCAGATCGATGTTCATGCTGTTAATCACTGGATTGTATGGTCCAGACTCGATTATTTACAGGCCGCCGCCATATAGCTGGAATATTGCTGAGTGCGGCGTAAAACTAAACTCACTCACTCACCCAAACAGTGAGTGATTGAGTTAATATTTAACGTCACATCGGCAATATCTCAGCCATATCGTGACGAAAACAATTTATACAATATAAATGAAAACATTGTAAAGAGTAAAATCTGTCGACGATGGACAGTAAAAATCATAGAGTATCACAGATATGAATATAAAACTAGAATGTAAATCTTAAACATTGTAAGTGACAGTACTATATAAAACACGGGCTACAGATCGCCAACAACTGAAGGTAGATCACCATACTAGAGTCCATGGGGACTTACAGTACATTTGCTTCCTGCATGGACCTTAGCTGGATTTACACCATCCCTTCAGCTATTGGCAATTTTAGATAATCTAGCCATAAATTAAAATAACATATATGCTGTGTATGTATTCTTTATATTTGCTCTATGTTGTATTATGGCCAATGGCCTACATTACTGAAATAAAATGTATGTCTGTCTGTCTGTATATATGCTACGATTAAAAATACTGGTAGATTTAAATCAGCAAAAATAACTTGGTTTCCGCAATGCGGAAACCTGGTGGAAAGTGGACTGAAACTTAAGTTTCCACCTAGAATCCAGTGAGTTTCCGTTCTTTTACATTGAGTTTCCGCAATAACGGAAAATTACAATTACCCACTTTCTAAGGGTTTCCGCAAGGTTTCCGTTACCCACACTCCAACAGGTTTCCGCAAGGTATCCGTTACCCACACTCCGGCAAGTTTCCGTTGAGTTTCAGTTAACTTTGAATCCATCAGGTTTCCGCAAGGTTTCCGTTATTAATAAGACTCCAACAGGTTTCCGCAGAGTTTCAGTTACCGACAATCCGACATAGTTTCCGCATAGTTTCAGTAACCAACAACCCGACATAGTTTCCGCATAGTTTCAGTTACCGGTTTCAATTTCAGGTTCACAGGTTTTCATATGCGTTTCAAAGAGCCAAATTTAAACATTCTTCTTTATTCATATCATAAACTCTTGTTTAAAACAATATAAGTAATTTGTTATTATCATGACATTTACTTAAAGAAAAACAGAATATATAATAAGATTCATTGTTTTATTTTCTCAACATGAATATGAATTAGCATTCAAGGCAAATAAAGATCATACATATAACTAGTAATATAGCACTAAAAAAACAGGGCAAAACATTTTGGCATAACTCAATCCAGTTTAAGAAATCATATCATTTATAACAAAGTCGTAATTTTTCATCAGTTAAACTTTCATTCACTTATTATCTTGAAATAGCATGTTAGATATGAAATTTATTTCTAAAACCATGCAAATGGTGAAAAATAACATTAACATACAACTTAACACAGTAATAAAACATAGCTGCATCGGACATTTATTTGCACGCCTTGGCATTCAGCCACACACTCTATGTCACAACTATCGCCAAACATCCACTATGATATACATCATACAATAACACAACATACAGCTTACAATACAAAAATAAAATAAAATAAAAATTACATTATGAAATTGAAAATAAATTCAATTATATTGCAAGAGTTGGTCAGTTAGCCCAATAAGGGGCATCCCTGGGCGGAGATCTCTCCGGTTGGTTGGATGCCTCATCCTCGTCCTCACGTTGGCCATGACAAGAGCAGTGGAGGTGTAGATTCTTTGTAGTCCAGTGTCGTCGTGTATGCCCTAAGCTTGCTGGACTCCCAGACAAAGGGGACGGAATGCAACTAATTGACGTCATCTTCGTCTCTCACGACTGGTGATGTCATGTCTATGGTGAGTGTTGTCGCTACCTTTTTCTTTCGTCTTTCTGGCCAATCGATAGATGAAAGTCTGTTTAGGCGTTGTGCAAGTTTCTGAAAATGGCAGGTAATAACGAATTACCAGGTTATTTTGATAAATTACACAAACATCAATCAACAAGAAACTGACAATGCCAAGGATGATTTAAAATGAGTAATCCAAAAGGAAGTTTGAATAAAAGAGAACTAAATTGAACAATCACACTTTGCACTAGTTTTCTCAAAACTCAAATTATGCACTTCATCACACTTCATTGACCGAATGAAATATCTTATTTTCTAAAGAGGACACACAATCTATACAAAATTTGCTCTGGAGTTACATGCTTCCCAGTCCAGGGGTAGTAATACGTTATATATATATCTTAACATTTATTGCATTTTCTATATAGTAATAATGGTATTAGTAATAGATTTTCATCAAATTGCTATACTAGTATTCAATCTCTTACAGTTCGTATTGAGCCCATTTCTGGTGTCCCCCGCCGTGATGTTGCTGGAATATTGCTAAAAGCGGCGTAAAACCAAACTCAGTCAGTCAGTCGTATTAATTGTTGAAGGCACAAGTATATTTACCCAGTAGTGACTGTATGTTTACACCATTAAGTCTTTGAGGCGTATTTAGAAGTGAATAATACAAGACATGAATGTTTACGGATGTCAACGTCTTTATTATGTGAAAACACACCATGTTTCGGAGTGAATGCTTACACCTGACGAAGGGGTAAGCATTCACTCTGAAACATGTTTTCATATAATAAAGGAGTTGACATCCATAAACCATGTCTCTACACTATTAATTGGAAATTATTTCCTATTTATAATGAAAGTCACTACAGATAGGTCAAAATTTCCTTCACATGTTCCTGCTGACCATCCTTGGTCATACGTTATACAGTCTCCAGACTCATCATCAGCTTTGCTGAAAAACAAAAACAATAACACGTTACTTTTCTTTGCATTTCCCCATTCATTCATTCGCGTTTTAAAAAAACCCAATGGGAAATTCCAGCCTCATCTCCACCTAGCATTGTTACCAAGGTTAGTACAATGGTATAAGATATATTCTCCTCCTTGCGTTGTTACCAAGGTTAGTACAATGGTATAAGATATATTCTCCACCAAGCATTGTTACCAAGATTGTTACCAAGGTTAGTACAATGGTATAAGATATATTCTCCACCTAGCATTGTTACCAAGGTTAGTACAATGGTATAAGATATATTTTCCACCTAGCATTGTTACCAAGGTTAGTACAATGGTATAAGATATATTCTCCTCCTTGCGTTGTTACCAAGGTTAGTACAATGGTATAAGATATATTCTCAACCAAGCATTGTTACCAAGATTGTTACCAAGGTTAGTACAATGGTATAAGATATATTCTCCACCTAGCATTGTTACCAAGGTTAGTACAATGGTATAAGATATATTCTCCACCTAGCATTGTTACCAAGATTGTTACCAAGGTTAATACAATGGTATAAGATATGTTCTCCACCTAGCATTGTTACCAAGGTTAGTACAATGGTATCAGATATATTCTCCACCTAGCATTGTTACCAAGTTTAGTACAATGGTATAAGATATATTCTCCACCTAGCATTGTTACCAAGGTTAGTACAATGGTATAAGATATATTCGCCGCCTAGCATTGTTACCAAGGTTAGTACAATGGTATAAGATATATTCTCCACCTAGCATTGTTACCAAGGTTAGTACAATGGTATCAGATATATTCTCCACCTAGCATTGTTACCAAGGTTAGTACAATGGTATAAGATATATTCTCCACCTAGGATTGTTACCAAGGTTAGTACAATGGTATAAGATATATTCTCCACCTAGCATTGTTACCAAGATTGTTACCAAGGTTAGTACAATAGTATAAGATATATTCTCCACCTAGCATTGTTACCAAGGTTAGTACAATGG